TTTAAAGTTTTGCTGAATAATTATTTTTTGAGAAATGAGAATCTTTTCAAGAATGAATAATCACTACAATTACACTAAAAAGCAAAGGTGCTCATAAAGGTCCAGGACATTCTGTTGATCTTGTTGATCAGTAAAAATCAAAAGAAAAATCATTCAGAACTCAGGACAAAACAATACATGTAACAGGCCTACAGAAGAAAACAACTAAAGCAACATAAGTAGTCAGGAAATTTTATGTTCGACGTAGAAATTTAGACTAAAATAGGAAACTCAGGACATTAATGTGTCATACTTTAAGACTTTGGGAAAGTTATTGAGAATTGGTTACGATGTGATACTAATGTTTCTCAAAATCAAATTGAATTCATGCCAAGTGGTTTAGTTGAGAGTGACTAAAAATTTGTGCCAAAATCAAAATCTATGTTCGACATAGAAACTCATTGCCATCGTAACCAATTCTCAATAACTCTCCCAAAGTCTTAAAATTATGTCATTGCCTCTATAATTGAACATATAAAAAAATTCAGAAAAATTCAGAAAAATTTTTATTTGAGTCATTGCCAAAACAAATTGGTATCTTCCCAGTCTCATCCTGTAGGGTACAATACCTCTCAATCTCTTCTTCTTCATATATTTCAATCATATTCATCTTTCATAAATATTAATCATTAACATAAATATAATACTCCAAAATTTTAAGAGGAGATGATGGTGGCATGTGGCTTTCTAGTGATCCCCTGTGGAGGCTACGATGGTGATGGATACGGCGAAGGCTGTGGGTTGGAGGTTGAGGCAATTGACAAGAATTTGTTGCGGCATGGGGGTGCAAGAAGACATAATTTTTTGGGGCTTTTGTATAGAATTTAGGTAAGTTTTAAATAAAAAAATTATAAATATAGTGAGGCGTATGCCTCATGCGAGCAAGGCGAGGCACGCCTTAAGGCACACCTTATCCAAAATGAGGCGTAAGCTTCATAGAAAAAGCTCAAGGCAAAAGCTTCATAGAAAAAGCTCGACGCCTCGGGACTTTTTTTATTGGAATTACGCTAAGGCGGGCATCAAGGGGAGTCTTATATTGTGCAATTTTAAACAATGATATTTGCTTATACTCAAGTCATTAAGGATATGTATGCAAAAGCTATTACTTGAGTTCAAACGCAAGGAGGTTGGACCAAGTATTTTCCTATTACATTTGGATTACACCAAGGATCAGCTTTAAGCCCATATCTTTTTGCTTTAGTCATGAATGTTCTTAATAAACATTCACAAGAGGATGTAGCCTGATGTATGATTTTTGTTGATGATATTCTTCTTGTTGATAAGACTAGAGGAGTTAAAGGCATGGTTTAAAATTGCGCAATATGAGGCTCGCTTTGAGGCCCGCCTTTGCGCAATTCCAGTAAAAAACGCCTCGAGTTTTTTTTATGAGGCTTGCACCTCAACTTGATTGAGGCCCGCCTTAAGGCTCGACTCGCCTCACTGGCATGAGGCTTACGCCTCACGCTATATATATTAAAACTTACATAAATCTTGAAGTAAATGCCCGACATTGGACTCTATAGGAGAGGAGGAAGAGGAGAGAGCAGTTCATCATAATGATGATTCAAATGAAGAACCCCGTAGTGATGACAGTGATGATGACTTAAGAGTTCTTATGTGATATGTCATTGCTATTAATTTTTGGAAATTTGAATTATATGTTAATGAAAAGAATACTGGGATTTGGGAAAGATAGAATTTTGAGTTGAACTATATTTCATATTGTTTTATTGTTGGGATATTTTGATTTCACTTCATATCTTATGCTTTTTTATGTTTTATGTTATTCACTCATTAGTATATAAAAAATTTATCATTTTATGTTTACGCAATCTTTTGATTTTGAGGCTTACGCCTCAAAACACCTTGAGGCTTACGCCTCGCCTCACGAATGAAAAACGCTTCAATACCCGAATACGCAATTTTAAACATTGGTTAAAGGTAAACTTGAATTAGGGAGGTCAACCTTAGGACTAAAGGTTTTTGTTTGAGTAGATTTACAACCGAATAAATGGAGTGTAATTTTAGCAGTAACAAATCTAATTGGGCAATTGTGACTGTGGAAGATCAAGTCATTAGTAAGAGTAAATGTTATAGATATTATTAGTGGAATTCAAGTTGGATGGTTGAAGTGAAGGAATGCATCGAGCCTATCGTGTGATAGAAAATTCACCCTCAAACTTAAGGGAAACTTCTATAAGATGGTGGAGATACTTGCAATACTTTATGGCGCAAAATGTTGATTGTTGTTAAATCCTAGTCGTCCCTTGGCATTTTGATGAGGACATCAAGACATGGAAAAATCTATTAGAGGCGTGGTCGTCGATCAACGGCCACGATTACATCATGCTACTTATGATTTTCATATTTATGATTGATGTATTATTTCTTTATTTTATTAAGTTTATTATGCATTTCCTTTTTTGCCCTTACTTAAGGGCTTAAGCATGTGTAAGCCCTAGGGGCATTGTAGTACTTTTTATTTTCTCATTGTATGGGCTATTTAAAGCCCCACTCTTCTTCTTTGAGAGGAATGAATGAAATCTAAGAAAATTCCTGCACATGTGTTCTTTGGAGAGTTGTGAGAGTTCTAGGAGAGAGCTTTGGAGAAATCCCTAGGGAGGGAAATCAGATTACCCACCAACTTTGGAGACAGTCGGGTTCGTGGTTCTTCTTCCTTTACCTTTCTTCCATTCCTTTTCCTTTCCCTTCCTCCTTCCCCATTAAGCCACCAACAACCCCATCCAATCCCCAACCTCCTAGCCGCCGGATTCCCTAACCACAATCCACCCTGTCGCCGGCCAACTCCCACCACCAAACCATTCAACCCACAAACCCTAATCAAACCCTATTCCAAACCATCGGCCACCACTTTGCTTTCCCCTCCCTCATCAATTGCCATTACAACTTTCCTAAATTAGCTCTACATATTTTAGGTAACTCAAATAATTACAAATTAAAACCTATTTGAATTTGAAATTGTTACCTAAAATATAAATCCTTTTTTAGGAAAGTTTCCAAATCCCTTCCTATTTGAATTTTAAATTAAATTGGGATGAGATATTTCTTCCCAAATTTAATTCCTTAAATCAAAAAGGCATTAAATGCTTCCATAAACTCTCACCTCCCTCCCCCATGCCGTCGGCCCCTTTCCCATCTACCTTTCCTTTCTCCCCAAGGACTCCTCTAAGGAAAGGAATTGAAAGCTTACCTAATTTAGATCCTCTTTAAATGTGGAAGAGTTTCAAACCCCAAATTCAAATTTATTTTAGAATTTTAATCCTTTCCTAAATTAAGAAGTATTCAATTTTTTTGGAAAAAACTATCCTATTATCCACAAATTTGAATTTAAATAATGGTTCCCTTTAAATCTCTTTCCAAATTTAATACTATTACTGGAAGAATTCAAATCCCAATTAATTTTCTCTTTGCATACCGCCTTCCCCCTTTTCTCTCCCGTTTCCCATTAAAAACCCTCCCTTAATTGAATCCAATCTAAGCTCCAATCATCTAGCCGCCCCCCTACCTCTCTTCCTTATCCCAGAATTAATTCCCTAAATTAATGCCCCAATCAATCCGTAACTCTCCCTCAGCCCTAGCTGTCTTACCCCCAAGCCTGTCCACCTCTTGGTTTTCTTCCTCTACTGGATTTCTGAGTGCTGTCCAGATTTCTGGGCACAATCTGCACATTGCCTAGGAAATTTCAGATTTTCATCTTGCTGTCCATACCGTTACCAACTGCTCTCCTGCACCCTGGGAGGTCTGAAATTGCTGTTCAAAAGCCTCCAACAGCCTAATAACAGCTGCCCAAGGTTTATACAAGTGTTGGAGATTGCTGTCCAGAATTTCCCAAGTGTCAAAGTTGCTGTCCAGCATTGTTACCATCTCCCATTGCTGTTCCGCTGGTTTTAAAATCAGATCGCTGTCCAAAGACATCGAGAAGAATCAAAGGTTGCTGTCTACTTCCTCTCAAGCACATAAACACCACACCGGAGCCTTGTTTGTCGTGTTTATTTGGGTGAACTTTCCTCCTATTCTTTTATCTTTTAGTCACTCTCAATTGTAGTTATTAATTGACTCATTAAAAGTTGTGTTGATTTTTCCCGATAAAGCCTAGTATTTATTAGGAGTTGTGTGAGAGATCTTGCATAGCACTACTCTTATTGTTAGATTAGGGATTTCTTGTTGAAATCCATTTCGTTTGTAATGTCAAGAGTAATTAATTGTTATGTGGTTTTTACTTTTTGCAAGTGACTTGGCCTAAGCTTTAAATGAAAATTTGATTCTTAACATGACACAACAAAGAAAAAGGATTCATGTAGCTACCCCACGTAGTAAGACGAAGGATTGATGTTGTTGTTATTGTAGTATAGAAATTTAGACTAAAATAATCTGCTCAATGTTGATGGTTTGAAACAAGGAATGATGTTGAACTTTAGCAGTTTGAATCAAACATGTTTGGACTTCAAAAAATCTAAAACAGCAAAAAAACATTATGTCATGTTGTACTCTCCTGGTATCCCGTACTTGTTAATGAATTGGAATTCTGGATAATGTAATGGATAGTTGATATGCTAAAATTGGAAGCAGTTTTCAGCTAACCTAGAAATTTAATACTGCACTGTCCTGAACAGCCATTGCAAATTTATATACTTGGAAAGGTCATTTCTTACGAAGAAAAGAAGAGGACTATTGGCACATCTCAAACATTTCAGGAAATTCACAGCTCAAAAATGAAGAATAATAAGTAAAATACTTGGAAAGGTCATTTCTTACGAAGAAAAGAACAGGACTAATGACATTTTCAAATTTAATTACTTGGAAAGGTCATTTCTTACGAAGAAAAGAAGAGAACTAATGGCACATCTCAAACATTTCAGGAAATTCACAGCTCAAAAATGAAGAATAATAAGTAAAATACCAAAATAGAGAGATAAAGAAAAATAAAAGTATCAACTGACCTCCCATATCAGCAGCCATTATAACACCATCCTTATATTTGAGGCCTAAGACAGATGTACCAGTTACATATGGGGACCTGTATTTAATTAGCAATTACTGAAGTTTTTTAGGAATTCCACCAATATAGTTACCAAGACTGTAAGAGTAATGCAATATTAATACAATGACTGAACCAACAGATATTATGTATTTGAATCATGAACGAAAAGACAGAAGAAGTAAGCATGCCAGAGAACCGCATGTATAGTGTATCTTGGTAGGTTGGGAGATGCGCAAATGTTATATATTGCAAGCATGAGCTATAAAAATAGTATTGGCAAAGACTAGGGATGTAGACAGCGTGGTTGAATCCTAGGGACCAACATATCACACTAAGAACTATGGAAAAATCAATTTCCATCAATTCCTTCCCCAGCAATGTTACATGGAACACATCAGTCTTCTATTCACATCGTGCCACCACAATGCTCCATAAGATTATTACTACTACCTCATCAATATGTAGATGATGATGACTATTATTAGTGTGATGTGTTGTTATGATGATAATTATGATTAGATGATTATTATGATAATTATGATGATGATTATTATTATTATGATTATGATCATGATCATGATGATGATGATTATTATGATGATTATGATGATTGTGATAATTATGATGATTATAATGATTATTATTATTACTACTATTATAATTACTATAACTATTACTATTATTATTCTTCTTTGTTGATTTTGTTTGTTTCCTATTAGAAGCTCTCCTAGAATTGTATAAATACTAAATAAATGGTGGAATTAAATATTGAACCAATTTTCTCCAAATCTGATCATGTATCAGAGCCTTAGAAAAATTTTCTTAACATTTCTATAAACTATAGCCTACTTCACCACATTACCAAGAAGTTGCAAACCTTTATTATTGCAATTCTCTTTCGTTCCACCTAACCTTCTCAGTTGTATCCTTCATCGCTGCAGCCTTATCTCCATCATTCTTTCTCTTAGCAATAAATTACTGCCACATTTTTCCTTGCCATAGATCATAAAAATACTCATATTCCTTGGTCTGAGGTTCATTTGGAATCAATTCCAGCAACCCAAGTCCAATGGTAGATTACAAAGCATACATTGAACACATCATTTGAATGGAAAGAATTACCTTAAGTTTACTTTGCATCTTGAAGGAAAGAGGAAAAATGGGTCATTTACTAGGCATCGGACCTTAAAAAGTTGATCAAACATTCAATACTTGGAATTAACAAGACTCTATGATGATGATCTAGTTATCAAACTCAATGGTCCTAAAATAAGCGACATCAAAACTAAAATCTCAACCGCAAAGCAAGGAAAGCAATCCTATATTTATAATTAGAAGAATATATCATTTGTTTGAGGAAAAATAATATATGAGGTAGAACACTAATTAGCTTTTCATTGATTTCTCTTAAGTTAGAAATAACATAATGAAATTATCAGCTTTAGGAATGGTGACGCAGGTAATGCTTTAAAAAAATGGAAAAGGAGGCATTAGTGGCTTTAAGAATGGTGAAGCAGAATAATGCTTAACAAAATGTAAAAAGAGACAGTTAGTTGCTCTGAGAATACTTTTGATAAGGAAAGTGGGATATTTTTACGTTAATTGAATGAACCGTGTTATTCTATCAGAATCTAAGGCTTATTTAAGCTTTTTTAGTTAAAAGTGCAATCTTTATTAGATTTATATTACATTTATTATAAATTTTTTAAATTTATGCAATTTTGATCGATTATTTATTTAGGAGTAAGAATCAGAGAGGAGTTAAAGTTAGAATCTGGTTTTGAATTTACTATACAATATTTTGATACTTAGTTTTGGTATAAGATATCAAGTATGCTTAGTACTTACATAATGTTATGATGAAAATTTATGAATATAAATGTAAACTATGATACTTAGAAGCTATGTAGTTGAATGAATGAAATATTGTTGGATGCTTTTGTGCAATTGAATTGTGTTAATTTAGCAGATCCCTACATGATATAAATTATATGATATGATATATTTGAATAGTTTACATACTTAAGCTTATCATTCTATTATTGTGGGTAGAGTTCTAAAAAGAGTGTTGCCGAACGAATCAATCATCAAAGTTGCAATTGCATCTGTCATGTTTTATGTTAATCAGGAGGTTCATGGTGCAACATGAAAAATGGATTATTACCAAGGCATCAAAATGAAATGCAGTAAAGATGTAACCTTCCATAAATTGGTTTGGGAGGTTCATGGTGCAACGTGAAAAATGGATCATTATCAATGCATCAAAATGACATGCAGTAAAGATGTAACCCTCCTTAAATTGGTTTGTTGAAAATAACTGAAATTTTAGATTTTCTTGTTGGATTAAATATTGACTTTAATGCTATAATGATACAAATTTTTAGAAAGAAAGATTTACCATCTCTAAATGTAACTCAATTACATCAATGGAATGGAAGAAGGGAGAAGGAAAGTTATGACTGTCAACAACCCCATAAAAGGTTTAGCCCTAATGACAAAGGGTACTAGCATCAAACAACTTGATTCATAACTCTCTTCTTCGAAGGAGAAGCACAAGCAACCACCCCCAACAAAGATGGTCAAGAATAAATTTCTATAGTGCACATATTGCAAGAAAGCTCGACATACAAAAGAAATATATTGGAACCTTCAAAACAAGCCACCAGGCAAAAGTTAGACAACACTAGGAGGACAAGCAAAAGAATAGAGACATGTATATACAACATATGGAAGAAGATAACACCAAAGAATCACCCCTTTAAAAAATTGGTCATAGAAAACTTGAAAAATTGCTTACATAATTAGATAAATACTCTTACTACAAATACTTATTCTCTTGCATTTTCATTTATGTTCTCGTATTCTCATGCATTAAGTATAAGAAATGCCCGATTAAATTGTTAATTCAAATATAACATATAACCAACTCTTCACACAAATTTATTTCATATACTACTCCTAACAAAAAGAAAATAATCATTACTTATAGATCGTTGCTCACCAAGGAGACATTCTTATAAAAAATTCCTCAGACTTTAAAATATCCTCCATGTATCTAAATAATTCACTAATTCTTATGTATCTAAACATTAACTACAAATTCAAATGCAAGGTTGCATTTTACCCTTTACATTATATATTTCCGGATTTGGGCACAGAGACTACTGGACTTGCTAAAGAAATAGGTAAATAAGTACATCTTGTGGAATCCAATAACTAAGGAAGCTCCAAACTACTCGTTCTATCATGTTTTCTTTCTGAAATATTTAAATCCAATTAAAAAAATGATACGAACCTAACACCTACGCCTTAGCCATCCTTCTTTTGTCACTTTCTAAATTATGTTTTCATCATTATTCAAAAATATTAATATAAAAGAATTTAAATATGGTACTTATGAGTTAGCAAAATACAAGCATATCAATTTTACAATAAATAACATAAGAAAACAAATCTTTTTTTTTTTTTATCTCATTCACTGTGACATCTTAGAACCATCTTCTACACGTAACATATCTAAGGCTCAATGGTTAGTATCCTTTATTGATGAATGTACCAGTATGTCATGGATCTTTTTAATAAAAGAAAAATGCGATATCAGAGTGCGAAAAAGATGAAAAGGAGATATCAAACATGAATAAGCCACCTTATCGGCCTGAATTCGTAACTCAAAGTTCTTCATGGATTAGAGAAGAATCCATCAGATTGGACAAATCAATTTAAACACCTATCACCCATTCAGATTCTTATACTGTACACCCTAAACATAAGAAGTCCCCCAAGTAACAGAAATGGGCGGATGGAAAAGCCAAAAGTCGACCAAATAAATATATCACCCCTGAGATCATGATTAAAAGAGTAAATAAGCGCAGAGGGACCGAATATGTTATGAAGAAAATGGGTAAACTTACAGCGTTCTTTGTGAACCTGACTCCAAAATCGTCGAAACCTCTTTCTCCTCAGAAGAAACTGCACCCCACTACACTCAGCACAAAGTTGCAAAATACAACGATGAGATAAAGCTAACGAAGAACAATATAGGGATCTGGAAGAGCAACCAAAAGGAAAGCCTACCTCCATTACAACTTTGCGACGGTGCCCACTGCTCCCGGTTCCGATCTTTCTTTACCTCTGAAGCCCTTTCTTCTCTCCCAAGACTCGGTTTGTGCCTGTCGCTAGGGCCAACAAAAAAGTTAGGAGTGTACACCCAATTAAATTTTATTTAAAATGAATATTAAACTTTTTAGATTTTTCTTAGATAAGTATAATTTATTCAGATATTACATTCATTTTAAAATAATTTTAAAAAATCTTTTTTATCAATTTTTTATCAGCATATTTAAACTTAATTTCTCCTTAATGATTTTAATTTTATGTGTAATTGACGTCTAAATTTTACTCCTCCTAAGTTAGTCTACTAAAAGTAAAAGAAAAAAAAATGGGCGAGAACTATGTGATTTATTTATTATTATAAAGTAAGAGCTTTAAAAGAGGTTAGAGACAAAAAATTCGTCTATCCTCTTGGTTTGACCTCTTATCCCTATTTATAGGTAGGGTTGAGGCATAACATTATAAAAAAATTTACATTAAATGTATGTGTATAAACCATATAACCAAAACCAGTAAAGATATGCCACAAAAAGAGATGTGCTAACATTTTCTCTTAAATTACATTATATAAATCTTAGAAGTTCTCAAGTAGGGAGTGGACTCACCTAAAGCTGCAAACCAACTAGACTTAGTTTAACTAGTTATAGAAAGTTGTTGCATTGAAGGCTCCAAAAGTCTCACTCTAGTTGGTTTCTAAGGCAAAGGTGATTTAACAAACTCAATTAAAAAAATAGGAGTCATTATAAGTTCAAATCAAAAATCATCTTCATCATAACATATATATCGTATTGATTTAATTACAATATTTTTTTAATAATTTTTGGGCTTTCGTGAAAATACTTAAGAAATTGATATATCTCGATACAGTGAATTTTTTGGGACGATTACATGACCGTTTGCAAATCAGTTTCATTAGAATTTTCTAAATAAAATGTGTTAGTATATGGATACGTTTTATAATTTTTTAAGCTCCCGATTTAAAAATATAAAAGAATTTATATTGATTTTTCACTAAATTTAAATAATTGCATAATTAGATTTATATATTACTATTATTTTATCACTAAATATCTAATTCTATTAACATAACTTATTAAAACTTCCATTTTTCCACTCTCATCATTTAACAAAGAAGGGTAATAGGAATTAAGAGAGAAATGAGAGAAGAGAGAAAAAAGAAGCTTGGTTTGGAAGTCATAGATTGATTTTTGTCCATTGACCATATTGGAAAATTTGATCGTCTCGTTATAAAGAATCAATAACCTATTTCTGATTTAAATGATTATATTTTCATTATCAAAAAAATGAGGATAATATTATATTAATAAAACTTATATCACATAACTTTTTATATATTATAGAGATTGAGATTAATAATATTTTGAATATTTATTAGAGACTTTTCGTCAGGTGATTTTTTAAAAAATAGCTATTTTTACTAATTCAAAATTTTATTTTAACATCTAAAAATAGTGTTTTAGTTTAATTAAAGCTTCATAATATTGTTATATATGATATCTAGTAATTTGGTTAATTTCTGAAAATATAATTTTTTGCTCAGTGGAGTTTTTTATTTCTTACCGTTAAGATATTTTAGCACTTTTTGAATAAAGCTCAATTATATTTTATTTACTCTAATACATTAAAAATACATGTGAATATGTGATTGAGTAATAGTTGGTCATTATTATTTTTATAGTATTATGATAACAATGTATATGTGGAGAAAATAAGTAAAGACTGATTATTCCTTAACATTAACTGGAGAGTAATTGACATGTATAGGATGGTGGGACGACGAGCTTTCATTTAAATACTGTAATTTATTGTTATCCTCTAATTATCCACATGATACTGATATGGAGTTATAATGAGATGATTACTGTGTCGATGGATAAATAATAATGACTTTGTTTATTGAGACAACAATTTACTAATATTGACATGATACTGGAAAAACATCAATTAAACTAGGATTTCTTAATTGATTAATATGATTATTGAAATGCAAGTTATTAAGGCGTTCATCCTATTATTTTACATATTTATTTTTAATGTATAAATTTACTATTACAGTAATACTTTACTAATATTCATATCACTAATTTTACTATTACCAATACAAACACTGATACTTTTTAATACTATTAATTCAGTGTACTGATAATTAATATACTGAGCATATAACAGATTAGATTAATATACTGAGCATGTAATATATTAGATAGCATGTGTACATAGTTACAGGATTTTATTGTATTGATCTAAGTTCATCAGTTCTTTAATTATTCTTTGGTTTTACAACTTTACATGATTGATTTACGAACTGATAGTACTGATATAATGACTACTTAATTAATTTGACATCTATACTAGTTTATTGATTCCTCTATTATACTATTTTATAGCTTTCATACCGTATTATTTTATTATTTATAAATTCTACATCTATTATATGTGGGCTTTACTATTTTTTCACTCATTCATGATTTATTACTATTATAATTCGATCACTGACATGCATATTGCCTTTTTACCATACTTTGAATTTAGTTGTAGGTTTTGGTGACTTATTGGTTTTTTTAACTCATTATATATGGTTAAATGATTTCAGATCAAGGCAAGGGAGCAAGAGTGTGAGATTTATCATGATCTTTCAAGTTCAGACTCTTATTATTTTAGCTATTCTTTTAAACTCAGGGCATGATATATATATATAATGATTGTATAGATCCTGAGTAGCATACATGATTTTTGGGAAAAGAATACATATCTTGATTGATAATTTTATTTTCACTATTATTTATACAGATAAAAGAAATTAGTTAGCTCTACTTGTTTATATTAAAAGATAAAAGAATAATTCTTTCAAATTTGATTTTGGGGCATGACAGGTGATATACTAAGAATTCTGGGTGAATGTGTTGAATAGGCAAAACTTGCTCTAATAATAGATATATAATTAAACATGTAATCAGATGGAACCTTATCTCATACAAATCCATCTTAGTTAACTAGTTTGACTCAAGTATTCCCTAAGCAACTTTTGGTTATACATTTAAATCCTTAATTCTCATGTCACTTTAAAGCACTTCTAAAGGATAAATGAATTAAAATATATTTTATTATCAAATTTGTGCTTTGGTTATAGCCCATTATATGGATTTGATAGCTCAACCTTACAGATCAATACCATATGGACTTATAAATTGGGTTAAACGGGGTTAATGGGCTTTGTTTTTAGGATTCATCTCTAAAATCCTAAAAGCTAATGTTGTAATCATTCAAGCTTAAGCTAGCTTATTAAGAGTTATTGTTTGTCTCCTTCAATTTTTGCATTTATATGTCCAGCTCATATATATAATTATTTGTGAGCAGTATGTTCATGCTCAGGTCATCTAAATTTGAGTTGAACACAAGCTAGTTTGGAACAAAAAAAATAAAAATATAAAGATTTGAACATAGTAGAATTATTCTACTACTCATCTATTTGTTATATATATTGGAAGTTAATCCTAGTTACCTTAATGATCATGACTCAAATCATATATAAGAGGAGAGTCTTATGTTATCGTTTATTATCTTATATTATATATAGTTTATATTATATTTTATTTCAGGTTTAAGAAGTGCATTGACTTTTCTAGTCAAAGTGGTGACATGACAACATTTGTGACATTTAAGGATGACAAGGCCATGGATGAATTTTGGCCATGGAAGGTTCAAGAAGAAAGAATCTTCAAGAAAGTTGTAGAAGTCAAAGTGTTCTTTCATATTCCAACAATATTTAATGTAAGTGTTCTTTCATATTCCAAGAATAGTTAATGTGAGTGTTCTTTTATATTCCAAGAAGAGTTAATGTAATTGATATTTCTAGAAATATTGGAGTAGTATTAAGCCATAACTATAAAAGGAGGGGAAGAGAGGATGATGTAAGTGGGTGAAAAGAAAAAGAGAGAGTGAGATCAGGTGAAGAGTCATTAGGCGAGTTATCTATTTTGTCAAAGAAATTATTCATCTTGTATTGTTGTATTCATCTTTGAAAAATATATGTTGAAAGCCTTTGTCAATTTTTTGGAACTGATAAAAGTTTTATTCTATCCACTGTGTTTATTATCTGAGTAATTACTTTTTTCCCTCCAAAAAAGTGGTATCAAAGCTTTCAACAAAAAAGATGGGGAGGGTGCCAATCATAAACTTCGTTGCACCAAGATTGAATAAAGACAATTTATATAGATGGGGCATTGAGATGAAGACCATCCTAGAAATAAATGATTGTTGGGATGTTATTGAACATGGTCTGGAAGAGTTGAATATCGAAGATGAAGTTGCTCTAACCAATCAAAGGAGTATCGAACTAAGAAATAGAAGAAAATTAGATTGAAAGGCTTTACAGTTCATCTATTCAGCACTTCAGGATAATGATTTTGACAAAATGGCTATTGCAAGAAATGAAAAGATAGTATGGGAAATTCTCCAATACTCATGCTGAGGAGATGAGCAGGTGAAACAAAATGAAGTTGTAAATTTTGAGGGCTGATTTTGAGTAACTCACCATGAAGGAAGAGGAGCCCATTTCTGACTACTTTCAAAGGACTCTAAAAATTACCAATAAGATGAAGATTAATGGAGAAGATCCCACTGAGGTAAGAATGGTAGAAAAGTATTTAGAAACTTGACACAAAAGTTTGATAATGTTGTAATTGAATATTCTAAGGACTTAACAAACTTAACCACTGATGAACTATGAAGCTCACAACAAGTTCATGAACAAATGATAAATAGAAGGAAGGAGGCCACCATACCAGTAACCACACAATAAAGCTTGAATATGCCCCAGGCAAATCAAAACCATGGGTCATACCAAGGTAATAACAATTTTAGAGGAAGCAGCTCAATAAGAGGAAGAGCCAGAGGTGACCGAGGTAGATCGGGAGGTCGATAGCAACCCCAATTGAATGAGTCAAATTCAGAATGAGTTCGAGCACCAATCTCAAAGAGGAGGACGTGGAAGATCAAGAGGAGGTAGAAAAGGTGGACATGAGTTCCACCAAAATCATCCAAATGTGCAATATTATACTTACAACAAGTATGGACATTATTTAAC